ACAGTCCTTCTTCTTGAAATTAGCAGAAGCCTGATGGAAGAAAATGGATTAGTGACAGAACTCTGGAGAGCAATGCACATTCAGAGTGGTGCTGCCATCTTTGAGCAGGTACAGGTGTTTGTTTCCTACTCAGGTCAAAATGCCATGAATGACATATTTGGTTGCTATGCAACACATATGTGATCCTTGTTTAAGAGGGCAGTTACTAAACCATTTTGAATCAATTCAAAGCCCTGATCAAAACTTATAGGATATGGTCACACAGTGCTCAGAGGAAAATGTATAGCTTTTATTAGGAAATAAAACAAAAAATAAACTAATATGCATTCAAAGCTAAAAGCTAGAGGAAAAATAGTGAAGAAATGGAATAGAGACAAAGAAAATAAATGAAAAAGAAAATAGATAAGCTATAAAATGGCTTTTAAAATAGCAAATCTGACTAGAAAAATGGACAGGTAACACAAACATTTGAAATGACCTTTTTAGTTAGCAGCCAAATGGTTTAACCATTGTACCACCAGAGCTCCTATATAATAGCAATAAACAATCCAAAAACAAAATTAAGAAATCAATTTCATTCACTACGATATCAAAAAGAATAAAATATTTAGGAATAAATTTAACAAAATGAAAGCAAGGTTTGTACACTGAAAAACTATAAAACACTGTTAAGAGAAATTAAAGATGATCTCAATTAGTAGAGAGACATTCCATGTTTGCAGATTAAAATATCCAATATTAAGATGGTACTTTTTTCCAAATTGATGTATAGCAGTCAGCAGTTCAAACCCACCAGGTGCTCTGCAGGAGAAAGATGAGGCAGTGTGCTTCAGTAAAGATTTACAGCCTTGGAAACACTATGAAGCAGTTCTTCTCTGTCCTATAGGGTCACTATGAGTTGGGACTGACTCGATGGTAATGGATTTGGTATTGCCATTATATAGAAATACAACTGGTTTTTGTATATTGATCTTTATGTCCTGCAAGCTTGCTGAATTTATT